TCAAATTAATCAGTTCTTTATCCTTAAAATTACGTTCAAATATTTAATTTAAACATAGGAAAATGCCTTCAGAAGATTCCAAACCGGTGAAGAAAGTTCTTGATGAAGATGACGAACAGAGCATAGCAACAGCTTTTGGAAACCGCAAGAAGAAATCAGCCGATAACAGCAATGCCATCTCAAAATCTCAGAGTAAAGTCAAGAAAGAAGAAAACAAAGTGAAAAGGGAACTAGACGATGAAGAATTTGAAGAGCCTACCTCGAAAAAGACGTCAAGGAAGGCTGATAACAAGGTAGGAATTTTAATTTTTTGTGGGCATTCTGTGATTGAATAAAAATTTGTTTTTCTTTTTAATTTTTGAGATTTTGTTAGGGACAGCAAGAGAAGAAAAAGGGGGCCAAAGCAAGTGACAAGGGTGCTAAGAAAAGGGAAAGGAAAGTTTATGATTTGCCAGGTCAAAAGAGGGATTCTCCCGAGGAAGTTAGTTTTTTTTCCTTATTTCTATATAATATGGTTTCTTTTTAGGGTTTTTGAAGTAATTGATTTCTCTTGAATGGGATTTACAGAGAGATCCATTGAGGATTTTCTATGAGACTTTGTATGAGCAAGTTCCCTCTAGTGAGATGGCTGCAATTTGGTGAGGACTTATTCTTTTGAAACCTCTTTATAACTTTTATTAGTCCCAATTCCATGTTGATGCTGTATCAAATAGGGCCTTCAGTTCGCTGTATTGTTAATTTCTTCGATAATGGCATTGTTATATCTGGTTAATGCAAAAAGAATACTACGGATTGTTCCACTGTTTCTGCATCTGGGCACTTCTCTTCCTGGTTTTATATATGTGATGTAGAATTAATTGAAGAAGAAAAACAAGAAACAAAGAAGAAACAAGAAGGGAGAATCCGGGGAGTGGGAAGAGAGAAGACAGAGGGGTGGAAGGCAACGTAGCAAACAACAGTTTAATTCATTCATCATTTGTCTTCAATCCCAATTACAATAACATAAATAACAAAATAATAACTTGGGCTTGGGCCAAACCCCTATACAAACCCAATGAGACATAAGCCCAAATAAATAACTAAAAGATAAAATAGGGATGATGTCCGCATCAATATGTTTTATATTTTATACCAAAAGGCAGAAGAGTTTTAACTTTTTTGTTTACCTGAATACTGCAATTGAGCTATGATGGCTTATCACTTTCAATCTCTGAATCCATTCAATGGTGTTCAATACCTTGTAGTATTATGGTTTCTTTAGGCATTTTTCCTGATAATCCCAGAACCCGTGCAATATTGTGAATCTTAGTAATCATTATAGCTTATATTAGATAAACCCTGAATATATATTTCCCCCCTGTTTGAGCCCTATTATCCAAAAGCTCATTTTTCTTTAACCACAAATTCTCCAAAATATACTATTACAATTCATTTTTTACAAAATATAGAGCTCAAACAAAAGCTTAATATTGATCTCTTCTTGGCCGATGTCTTATCATTCTTCATCACCCAATCAAACATCTCGGTGCGTTTTGTCAATTATGGCAGTTTCTTCTCTTTGAAAAATTTAAAATACACTATGGAATTGCAAACCTTGGAGGTTTTTGGAAATTCAAGGTGAAATCGAAAAGGACCATTTTTAACGGCATTTGCATGTAAAAGTTTAAGAACATAAATTCGTATGTGAAATCATCATATTGAGCACCAAGTTTACGACTTGGAAACAGTTTTTATGAGCTTCAAGAGAGACCTTCTATCACTTGTTCCATCAACAAATTCTTTTTAGAATCATTAGGTGTTTAATTAAATATATTGAGTTCTCTTATTGTATCTTTAATAATCATATGAAGTCTTTGTTTATATAGCTGGGAGCTTGAGCTTTTATTGTCTGTATTATTTTAAAATGCATCATTATCCTCATAAAAATTGCACTTAAGAAACACTAATTTCGACAGCTCATTTAATGCGCCTGATTTTCAAATTAGTTTTCTCTGGTTGTGATTTTTATTCGACCAGTTTGCAGATTTGGTCTGATCTTTCTTATCAGTTCATCAGTTTGCAATCCAAATTTGTATCTGCCATGCACGAAACACAATTGCGTTTTGTGCAAATTTTGGTTACTCTGCACAAAAAGAGAGGTTCATTCCTATTCTTTTGCCATTTAAGAATAATCATTAGCCTTGTCTACTCGATGCACATACCCTCGCTTATTATGTCTATTCTGCCTCCATGCTTCTTAGCAGCCTGCAGAATGAATACATTAGTTACTGTGGCAGGTTATAATACATCTGTTGCTTGACATGTGGACTGGTAGCAGTAATCATCTGAATTTTTATTCTTAATTCGTGAAGTTATTCAGAGTGTCTATTTCAAAGGTGTGAAACACTCTCCAGGTGTTGAATTCCCAGGATGCAAAATCTCATGAAACTCAAATTTGATTGAATTTGATAGATCCGGTACCATGTGGTAACATCTTTCCTGAAGATGATTTAAAATTTCTTGTATGTCATGGACAAACACAAAGTAATTGTATGGTGGTAGTATTTGGCATTTGATGTCACTATTCTTAATATTTTATGTAATTGTAGGATGATGGAGTCTGGTTTACTTCCAAAGGAGGAAGCAAAGAAAGTTTTTGAGAAAAAACAGAAAAAAGGCCAGGAGCAAAGTCTGGGCTCTCCAATGAAATCTGTCGTCACTGTTAAGAAGAAAGCTGATTCGATCATTGTCAAGAAAAAATCATTGACATCTCCTGTCTCAACACAGAAAAAGAAGACACCCGATTCTAAAGTTGCCTCAAAGCAGCGCAAGAGCCACGATATCTCTTCAGACAATGAGTGGGATGATGACTTTGTAACGGACGCTAAAAAAGCAAAGAAACAGAGAGCGTCCTAGTTTAGTTTATTGCTGATCAGTTGTTAATTAGAGCTGAATCTTGAGCGAAGACACTAATTTCCTGTGAATGGTTCTTCCCCAATTGCTGTTGTCTTGTTGGGAAAAATTCATATATGAGTAATAATTATACTATTAAACACAAATAATAACCGAAAACACTACATAACCTCAATAGAATACTACTAACAAGTGAGTTGAGATTAATCATCAACGACAACTGGGGCTGATGGTTTCGAATATATATTCGTTGAGAGATTTTGTTGAAACATCTTCCATAAATTTTATACAAAATGATTACATGAAACATGTTTCATTTGATAAACTTATGGGTGTTATACTGTGTGATTTTTACGATTTGCACCCTTATAACACCATTGCCATTGTGTGATGTATGTGACTGTTCCAGTATTTGTAAGATCATATGGCAGGAGATTCGTCCCCTGTGAATATATGATGTTGAGTTATGTGGAAGTCTCGTTGAGACACATTAGTATCCTCTTCCATGTCGCTGTCGATTACTTATTCGACTTGTTCTTTTGGGGGTTGCAGTACATCACTGCTGAATAGTTGTATTAACATTTTCTAATATTCTCAGTAAATTTAATGTCTTTCCGTTCAATCCAACTTGATTCAAATACAGAAATAATTAAGTGCGATGTCCATATTATACATTTACATTTCTATGATTTCCTAACATTCTGCATTGTGGATGAATTAAATGCCTGACCTTAAGATGAAGGTTAATTTTTAACATGGAACTAAATGAGCGTGTTCCTGGTATAGACAAATTTATCTGTCTTGCATCTTCTATGATTCAGCTTGGATCAATCCACTATTAGTCTATCTTATTTCTGGTTTTGTTTGCACTCTTACAGAATATGCAACTCCTTTTCAGTTATAAAGGAACATACAGTAGTCGGTAAGTAGCTATAACAGGCGAGTTAATGTCAATTTCCTTGAATCAGCCAAAATCCACGAAGAATGTTTCACCCTGTTCGAAGGTACATTCACCTGTCTAACATCAGCAACAAGGGTAATCAACTTTCATTATCACCGTAGATGTCTTTACCTTTCATTTTTTAGGACATTTTCACCCTTATTTCTGGAATAATATAATTTACAGTCACTCACTACCACAGTTTCCCTACATGGCATGCATGTGGTTGTTAATGATTTTATGTGTGGTAAGAAAAAACTATCACATTAATGCATCAAATCACAAACTGTCATATAGAATGTTACATAGGATGACTATCGCAATGAACGACTATAAATAGCATTATTCTTATTTCTACCTTTCATCACGCAAAATGCCTTTTTCATTCATTTTTTCAATTAAAAGTTGTGAAATGACGAATATATCATTATATTTAATTTAAGTAAAAAATCCAAAACAAAACAAAAGAAAGAATTAATTGCAACCAAAGTCTCAATTTTTTTAAAAAATGCAAACAAGTCACAAATAAATTATTAGCACGTTCCTACCTTTCACTATTATTGTGAAAAATGTTCATGCCTTTTATTTTTTGACATTTTTCCCCTTAATTACACATTTAATTGCGCAAACCATTTTTCTATCCATTTTAACCCAATTTCTCAATAAAACTAGGAAATGATGAATATACCCTTATATTTAAATAAATAAAAATTAAAGAAAAATATTTTTTTAATTTCTGGTTTTTAATAATTAATTTGGGATTCGTTTGCACTTTTTTAATTTCTAATGTTTTAATAATTTATTTGAGACTCAATTGCACTTTTTAAAAAACTTTGGGATTATGGTTGCAATTAATTCTTTTTTAATTTAAACATGAGGGTATATTCATCATTTCACAATTTTTTTTTATTGAGAAATTGAATGAAAATGAATAGTGATGATTTGCGCAATCAAATGTATAATAATGATGAAAATGTCAAAAATAAAAAATAAAAAAATGTATGAATTTCTCACAATAATAACAAAATGTAAAGACATTATGTATTAACTACCCTTTTCCTAATTTAATTGGAACTCCTTAGCACTTTTTGTAAAAATTTAAGATTATGATTGCAATTAGTTCTGTCTTTTTATTTTTGTTTTATTTAAATATAAAGACATTCATTATTTCATAACTTTTTATTGAAAAAATGAATGAAAAACCTTTTACATAATGAAGTGTGAAAATACCTAAAAATGAAATGTAAGGATGCTTTTCACTATAATAGTAAAATATAAGGATATTATGTGCCAATTACCCAAACAACAATACGAAAATTGCTATAGTTAAATCCTAGTAGGATGGTCGGTATTATTAAAATGATTCTATGTTAACCTGCTTCACCTAATATTCATACCCTCAATTAAAATATAAAGGTTAAATGGAATCAATAACATCGGGATTATTTGTAACACAACAAATAGATAATAACAATTTTCAATTAACACCATAACGTGATTAAAATTGCTAAAATATCATGGAATTTGCTACATTTACCGGAGTGTTATATCATGGAACTTGCTACATTTACCCGGAGCGTAACATGATATTTGCTACATTTACCTGGAGTGTCTGCCCCTCACACGAGAGGTGAGTCCCATGCATTTATTGGGCGTGGGACTTGACCCCCATGTGAGGGTCCATGTGAGGGATGGGTAACCCGAAGTGTAACTATTTCGCGCGGATAGTCGCTAATAATTAAAAAGGAATCAAACGATTGTGTAAGGACATGCCTCTTGAGACAAAGTGCTCAAAAGGGGTGTTTTATTGACGATGATTTACAATTGGAACTAAACAGAATGCCTTCAAGGAGCGCAAGCACACGAGTACTAAAAGAAATGTTTAAATTTAAACTAAGAAATTGAAATTACATATTCTCCATTTGAGAGTATTTGATTCGAGTGCTTTTCTCTATGTCTTCTCTTCCTTTTATATTCCCTTGATGATTTCTTCATGACAAACCGCTTGGAAACTGTTTGATTACTGTATAACTACACACTTTCTTTATGGTGGCTAACTTGTCGTGGAATTGCCGTCTCTAACTGTTGCCATTACTCCTCGTCGTTCAACCGCCTTCAACTGGGCTCCTCGAATCGTGGAATGTGATAAGATCACTCAATAATTGCTTCAATAACTACTATTTGATTTGGGCTTCACTCTTTGGGCTTTTTGATTTGGGCTGCACTTTTAGTGTGCCAACAATTACCCCCCAATATGACAGAATTAATACCAATTATTAATCTTTGTCATATTCACTTTGTATTTTCCAGCAATATTTGAAATTTTCAAGAATTTCAATCATTATTTCCTTCTACAGCCTGAAAAAGTGCAACATTACAGACCCATATAAACCCAAAAGACACGTCATTTTATCGCACCACTAAACCACGTCTCTATATTTCGTGCCTCCTCCTCGCTATTTTACTGTTCATCTTCTTGCTTCTCTGCTATATTTCTCAGGCAAAACTTATCAAAACTGTACTTTGTTTCCAATGGCGACTTCACAAACTCAATTTGATTATTTTTTTAGTTTCGAAGATTTCCAGAAAATCATTGCTAGGTCGTATGTAAATTCAAACTTCCTTGCACAAGCTAATGCTGGCCTCAATGAATTCTATCTGGGTCCATCGTTTAATAATGCCGAAGCCGTTGGATAAGTGGCGGTGGGTTAGCCGTTCCCTTGCACTCAAGGTCTTCCGTTTTTGAATTCTCTGCCATTGATGCCGATTCGCGAAAAAGGTATTCGCACTTGGCCCAAAGCTGATGTTATTTTTCGTAGATAGCATGCACGTCTTGTGAATCATGGCCCCACCAAGGCGATTTTTGATCGTGTTAGGATTTCAGATTTATTAGAAATTACTCTTCAACCCCCAATTTTTTACCCAGTGCTTTTTCCTATTGCTTTGAGTTTTTTGTCTTCTGAGTATAACACATTTGTTTTCCCTCTTGGTCCCATGTCTATTACTTTAAGGGATGTTGGAGCCCTAGTAAATCTTCAGCCTTTGGGCGATACCATCTTTCCTGGTATCTTGATTTCCAGTGTTGTCCCGAAATTTGACAAGAAACTTAATGAGTCCTATTCAAGCCTGCAAGACTTTTATAATCACTCAAGTGCTGAACCTTCCCATGCTGAGTGTGTGGCCTTTCTTCAGATTTGACTCTGTAAATATATTCTTTGTATGCCAAGTATGAAACTTTCTATGAGCTACTTATCCATAGCGCATGAATTGGCGCGTGGTAGGCCTATGAACTTATTTTCCTTCTTTTTACCCGCCCTTTATAGAGGCATGGCTTCCCTTCAGTTTCAATTGAAGAATGATGCATCTCCCACTGGCAGTGGCCCCCTTTGGTTCACTCAACTGTGGTTGAGAGCATATTTTCCACCACTTGGTGCTCCATCCATTTCCCTTCGTTCTGCTAGCTACTATGGGCTAGCCATTGATTCACTGAACCCTGTAAATATGTCCAGTAGGGACATTTTTTCATTCTTTTATACTTTAAATTCGATTCTTTCTTTCTTTCCTTTTCCTGCTCACTTGACTCCAGATTATGTGCAACCTCCATCCACCCTAAATAGTGCGAGTGCCTCTCTGCTTGTTTGGGTTCAGCTTTTGATTGGGAGGGAATTGTTCCACTATATCTTAACTGGAACCAATGCCAAAGTTGGGGTTAAAATATATGCTCCCCAATTTTTTGCTCGCCAACTTGATTTTGATCAAACTTGGTATGTTCCTCCTTGTCACTTCAAAAATTTGACAGACCGCTTTCACACTATTATAAAGCAGAGGCACAAGCTATAAATGCTCG